ATTTATATGTCAAAGTGAGTAGTACTTAAAAGGTTTTGGATTCTAAATTTTAGTTTTAAGAAATAAAATTAAAAATAAAAGAATAATATTTCATATTTTGTAATTCAAAATGTAATAAAATTTTATTTATATGAAAAACTCATAAATTTTAAAATTGATTGATGAGATTAAATTTTGAAGTTATAAGTTAATTTAATAGATAATTTTTTTATAAATATATCTTATTTCTAATAAAGTTATTATTATAATATAAAAGTATATCATATACAATTATTGCACTATATTAATTAATCATAATTTAAAATTTTATAAAAATAGAATCTATCTAAATATTACATGAAGCTTAAACTATAAATAGTGCACCCTTATATAATTTTTTTGTTGTAATTGAATAATTATAATATTATAATAAAAAGATGCATGTAACATGCTATTTGTGTTATGGCAATTTCTGAATAACTCTTGGACTTTTCGTTCTTTTAATTGGTGTTGGACTCTCGGAGAGACATTGCCCAATACATGTAATTGTTATTTTACGGGTTATTGATGTGATATGTCCACGGGCCCGGTCCGACCCTAGGCAGGTCTATTGGACAACAGAAAGCCACAAAATCACAATTTTATGAACCGGGTTCAAATCGTTGGATCAAATCATATATTTAAATATTTTTTAAATCTTATTTTATCTTTAAATATACTTTTAAAAAAGTAAAATTTTAATTACAAAAATAAAATGGGTGGAACAGGTCGACTTCGAACCCAAATCTAGGATTTCTATGTATTACAGAATTTGGCTCAATTTTACTCATGCACATTTTTAATTTCATTTATTAAATATTTAATTATTTTCTTCGTTTCAAAATATTTGAGATGCATTAATTTTTACGAAATTTTTAAAAAAGTTTTGATTTTAATATATTTAATATTAAAACTTTTATAAAATTATAAATTTTATAAATTTTAATGTGAAAAAGTAAAAAAATAAAATAAAATATAATTTTAAAATATAAAAAATAAAAATTTTAGATATTCCAAAAAATATATATAATTTTGAGATATCCCCAAATAAAAAGATAAACAAATAAATAGAACAAACAGAATATTTTCTTTTAACGCCCATATCAATTCCCCTGGCTTCTCTTTTGTATTTTTGTTGTGCAACTTTTATCTTTTATTTTATTCCACCATGATTCCTTAAAGTGTGAATGGAGTCAACTAATTTTTTTGATACACTAAATACAACAGTTTTAACATTGTGCATATACAAGTACTATGAAAACCTTAGAAAGCAAAAAAAAAAAAGAGGAAGGGGGGGGGGGGGGGAGAATTCCATTCGTAGTGTTCGATTAAAAAAAAATCAAAATGTTGTGTAGCATCATGTAAATTCATTTATTATTACTATTATCTTTTTTTAATTTCTCTTTATTAGATTAAGATGTCAACTTTTTTTTTTTTTTTGTATTTTAGTTAATCATAGATTTTTTACGACTTGAATTAAGAGTTTGGTATTCTATCATCAGATTAAATAACAATTAACAAATGTGATTTTCGCTCTTCAATGACAGATCAAATTGATCTCCGCTTGAATCAAGTAGCCAAACATGGACTAGGAGATCTTTCCATTGATCCCAAAGAATTTCCGAACAGGAGTTGTCTACTTTCTCTGCTGTTTTTCCTGGCTGCACAATTTTTCAAACCTGCTTTTGAAACTCCTGCAACTGGAAGCATCATTTAGATGTAGCTTAGATCAATTTGGCAATCCATTTATGGAAGAACTTGACTAAAAGAAATAGAGATGTAAAGTGGAACGAGTCATGTCTACAAAAAATAATACTTACTATATACGTTTCGATATATATATATATATATATTTTTTTTTTTCTCATCTTTTCAGTTCACCAACCCCTGCCAAAGATTTCACCTCCTTCACCAGCACTGAAAAAAAACTTGCTCTACAATTAAACTTGGTTGTTCCAACCTCCAATTCTATATTCCCACTTCAAAGCCCTCAACCATCTTCCGCAAAATGCACTCCACACTGAAAATCTAGCTCTAACAATGGCAACTTGCTTCCAGCACAAACCCAGCAATGCTGAAGATGAGTCGGTCATTCTCTTCTCAACTTCCAATTCCCCTGAAGGATCCACCAGCCCTTCCTCTTCTTTGTACCACTCACCACCTTCAGCTGACCAATCCAAAAGTACTTCTCACAAACTAACAGTGAGAAACCTTTCCTATACAATTCACCTCGAAAGATCAATTCTTGGTTCGTTTTTCCACTTGGTGCAAAAGCCTAAGCCTGTTGAGATACTTAAATCGGTCAGCTTTGCTGCTAGAAGCTCCGAAATCCTTGCCATTGTTGGTCCAAGTGGCACTGGGAAATCTAGTCTTCTCAGGATAATATCAGGAAGAATAAATGATAAAGACTTCGATCCGTGCTGCATCTCCATCAATGATTATCGGATGACTAGTCCAGCTCAGTTGAGGAAGATATGTGGATTTGTGGCACAAGAGGATAATTTGCTTCCTCTACTTACTGTAAGAGAGACACTGATGTTCAGTGCCAAGTTCAGGCTCAAAGAAATGAGTTCAAAAGAGAAGGAAGAGAGGGTCGAGAGCTTGATGCAAGAGCTTGGCCTTTTACATGTTGCTAACAGTTTTGTTGGCGATCAAGAGAACAGAGGAATTTCTGGTGGCGAAAGAAAAAGGGTTTCAATTGGTGTTGATATGATCCATGACCCTCCAATTTTATTCCTGGATGAACCGACTTCAGGCCTCGATAGTACTTCAGCTCTTCAAGTGATTGAACTTCTTGCTTCCATGGCCAAAGCTAGGGGAAGAACAGTTCTACTTTCTATCCATCAACCGAGCTACAGAATTATTAGATATATTTCTAAATTCTTAGTCCTTTCTCATGGTTCTGTTGTCCACCATGGTAGTCTTGAATTGCTTGAGGAAAACATACAGAAATTAGGCTTTCAAATTCCAAATCAATTGAATGCACTAGAATTTGCAATGGAAATCATGCCTGCGCTGGAGGCGTCAAGCTCCAAAATTTCTGTTGTAGAAGACAGGGACTCCGATTCCTATCTGGTATGGTCAGACGAAGAATGCAACAGAATTCAACAACAAAACGATGACAAACAGATGGGAAATTTTTGGTTTTCGAATTTGCTTGAAATTATGTTTCTCTGCTCAAGATTCTGGAAGATCATTTATAGAACTAAGCAGCTGTTCTTGGCAAGGACAATGCAAGCTGTTGTTGGTGGATTCGGATTGGGAAGCGTTTATGTGAAGGTAAGGCAAGACGAAGAAGGGGTCGTTGAAAGATTAAGTCTATTTGCATTTAGTCTAAGTTTCCTCCTTTCTTCAACAGTTGAAGCACTTCCAATATACCTCCAAGAACGGCGAGTTTTAATGAAGGAAGCCTCAAGGGGAGCCTACAGAATTTCCTCGTACATGATTGCCAACACCATTGTCTTCATGCCCTTCTTGATGGCAGTAGCCATTCTTTTTGCTGTTCCTGTCTATTGGATTGTGGGGCTTAATCCTTCCATTGCAGCTTTCACATTTTTCATTTTTGTGGTTTGGCTCATAATCCTGATGGCAAGTTCCCTGGTTCTCTTCCTGAGTGCAGTCTCCCCTGATTTTATAGCAGGGAATTCTCTCATCTGCACTGTTCTTGGAGCCTTTTTTCTCTTCTCTGGCTACTTCATTCCAAAAGACAGCATCCCAAAGTATTGGCTTTTCATGTACTATGTCTCCCTTTACAGGTATCCATTGGATACCCTGCTTACAAATGAATATTGGAGTGCGAGAAGTCAGTGTTTTTCATGGCATCCTCCGGATTATTCCCATTGTTTTCTAACAGGAAATGATGTCCTGAAGAGTAGAGGGCTTGATAAGGATACAAGGTGGATGAATGTTGGGATCATGTTTGGTTTCTTTCTGTTCTATCGTGTGCTTTGTTGGATCATTCTTGCTCGAAAGGCCTCAAGAACAACAATATAATTATGCACAACCTCTTTGGATTTATATCACTACAGTTTTAACTTCATAGATAAATGTGATCTATCTCTACTATTGTAAAAGAAGATGATTAGATTTTCTTTTATTGATTCATTTTTTGTTCCTTTTCTCAATAATTTCACACAACTATTTTCCTTTCAATTCTAAATTCCCATTTGATTTCTGGCCTTGGAGTTTTCATTTGATTATTTGATTTCTTTTCTTCTATATGATTAAAATTTGGCTAAAAAAATTAAAAATAAAAAGATTTGCAAATTTCATACTTGAAATATAAAAGATTGACGATAATGAATAATTCATGGAAAGCAGCAACAATCTCTATTTAATATTTAAAAGGATTGGCATTAACTTTAATTATTTATACATAATATACTAAGGTCATATTTGGTATATAAGATTATGATAGAATAAAATAAAATAAAATTATAAATAAAGTTAAATTAAATAATATCATTTTATTTTTGTGTTTGATATTTGTAAAAATTAAAATAAGATAATTTATTTATTTGTTAAAATTATTTTTTAAAAAAATTTTTACAATTTAAATTATTGATATAATTTTTAAAGGTATAATTAGACGTATAAGTTTAACATATAAATTAAAAATAATCCTCTCCACTTAAAAAAATTAAATAATTTTATACCAAGTGAATATTAATCCGAATTATATTTTTTATCTCTTTTTTCAGATATAAATTAAATATAATATAAGATAATTATTATTTTATTGTATTAGCAATTTTATACATTAAATATAATTTAAATTATATGTTTAATATATGATTATTATTTAAAAATAAATAAAAATATTCGCGTGCAAGGTACATGACAACAAAAATTAATTAAACTAAATATTTGGGTGCTAAATGCTAATGCCCTAAACTATAAAATTATCCATACACTTCACAAAAGTGGAAAAAAAAATTGACGTGGATAACATTAAATAAGACAAAGGCAAAGAAGTGAAGTGATATGCCAAATTCCAACCAAGCTTTGTCGTCACATGTGAAAAAACAATTTAAACCAAACCAAAAATTGGCAAGCCAAGGCCAAGATCTACTATCTTTAAAAATAATAATAATTAGAATTTAGAAGCATTCAACCTTTCCAACTTTGACTTACGCGTCTTCCACCATTGGCGTTGAACAGAAACCCAAAATCTCTATCCACTCTGCAACTTCTCCTAAACTCTCTTCAGGTACTGCATTCATCTCTCTTCCTCTATTAAATTGTTTTCTTTTCCTTGCTTTTTGTTGTTTCTGTATTTTTTGACTTCTGGGTTATGCTCCATTTGCTTGTATTTTTTTAGTATATATATTTTAAGTAGAATATCAGATCTGTTCTTTTTCAATTGTGAATTCTGATTAATACCCAGATTTACCCTTTTGTTTTTAGATTGTATTACTATTGTTATTATTATTAATATTATTTTTTCATTCTTCTCTTTTAAACAGTGCCGTTTTCATGCATCGTTGACTCATATCTTAGTGTATTGTTGCTTGCAATACACTGATGCAGATTCATTCTTTGGATTTCTGAGGAACTTATGATCCATTGACTGAGGTTTCCAATAAAGGGTATTCTTTACTCGCTGCAATTCTGTACTCTATAGCAACAAACTTGCGGTTAAATGCAATTGTTGTGAATTTTCTCTTCAAATGTTGCTCTAGATAGCATAATTTTAATTAGTTGAGTTGTGGCTGTGAGAAGGCAGGATTTTGTACTCTATGGTAAAAGATGAAGCGTGTTTCGCCACTCTTTTTGGTACTTTTAGTCCTAGGATCTTTGTTTGCGGCGTATAACCTGTTGACTATGATAATACACTATAAGACGTCTAGTTCAGAGAATTGGGATTTGTCAGATCCTATTATTCGAATGCCTGAGAACTTGAAGGAAGGTGGGGGTTCTAATTCAAAGTACCATGTTGCTCTCACAGCAACAGATGCTCCGTATAGCCAATGGCAGTGTAGGATTATGTATTATTGGTATAAGAAGGTACAAGATATGCCCAGATCAGATATGGGAAAGTTTACTCGAATTTTGCATTCAGGGAAGCCTGACAATTTGATGGAGGAGATTCCAACTGTTGTTGTTGATCCTCTTCCAGAGGGTTTAGATCGGGTAAGTCTTCTGCCGTTTAGTGTTTCAGTTCTTCATTTCCCATTTGTATATATGAGCATGTATAATTTACTGAGTAGTCTGCATGACTTCTCAGGGGAAACTCTGATGATATTTTGTGTTCAGTAAGGAGGATAATAGACTTAGGAAAGGCTATGGGATGTGTTTTGATGCTCTAAAATATTAATTAAAAGATGAAGGACAACTTTCACTCTCTCCATCAATTATGATACCTGAGCTAGAGCATGGAGGAAAGCTACAACCACTTTTGCTTCAATTTTTTGTAATATGTTAATTATTGACTTTTATTTAAATGGATTTAGTAATTGGATATTTCAGCAATGGTTCACTTACAAGCTTAGCATCATATTAGAACATTGGAGGGCCGGGAACAAGCAACTAAAATGATGGACATACAAAATACTTCTGTCAAATCTATATATATAAATCACGCTCGTTCAAAATGTTTTAGTGTGAGTTGAAGATATTTTATATCATTTTAAACTTGAATCATATTTTTTAAAGTAAATCCTCCATCAGCATTAGTTGAAAGAAACAAATTAAACTAAAGCACCTCCTTGTTTTGACTAAATATTCTTATTCTGTGTCAATGTCATATTTAGGGTTATATTGTCTTAAATAGACCGTGGGCTTTTGTACAGTGGTTGGAAAAAGCAACAATTGACGAAGAGTGAGTTACTTTAACCGATAAGACCATTTGTGTTTTCTGCTCTAACTTTGTGTGATCTGAAAGTTACTGCATTTTGTGACTGATGCAGATACATTCTAATGGCTGAACCTGACCATGTATTTGTAAACTCTTTACCTAACTTGGCTCATGGAAACCATCCAGCAGGGTTCCCTTTTTTCTACATTAAGCCAGCTGAACATGAACATATTATTAGGAAGTATTATCCCAAGGATAAGGGTCCTGTGACAGATATTGATCCAATTGGCAATTCTCCTGTGATTATTAGAAAGGTAGAACATTATGATTGCGGTAGCATGTGTGGCACATTTGATCTGAGTGTAAATTACTATTTTATTACTTTTGAAATTATAAATTTCCTTGGTTAATTTTAAAATTTTAAAGCACCATTTCTTGTGATCTGCCTCATTTTCCTCTTTGGTTGCATCCCTTATGGTTTTATATGTTTGTTTGTTTTATATGATTCAGTCTGTGCTGGAAGAAATTTCACCTACATGGATGAATGTTTCTTTAAGAATGAAAGATGACCCAGAAACTGATAAGGAATTTGGATGGGTGTTAGAAATGTGAGAAACTTTTTATTAATTTTGTCTTTATTTTATTCTTTTTCCTGATATGGCCTTTCACATGGGTGATCATTTGATTGAACTTAGGTATGCATATGCTGTGGCATCAGCACTGCATGGTGTGCGCCATATACTTCGTAAAGACTTCATGGTCCAGGTTCTAGCAATACGTTATGGGCCCTTTTTTTTTCCTTAATGACCTTTAACCACCAGTTGAAATTTAACTTCAATCTCTATTTGTTATCAGCCACCTTGGGATTTGGAAGTGGGGAAGAAGTTTATAATACATTATACTTATGGATGTGACTACAATTTAAAGGTAAAAGGATGTCTCTCTCTCTAATTTGTTGTATTTGAAGACTAAATGTGTAAGCTGTGATATTTTACCTCTTTAAGATGAATTTTGCCTTCCTAGCCATATTTTATACAAGTTCTTCACTCTGCATTTGCATTACAGGGAGAATTAACATATGGAAAGATTGGAGAATGGCGTTTTGACAAGAGATCATATCTTAGTGGGCCTCCACCAAGAAACCTCTCTTTGCCTCCTCCAGGTGTTCCTGAAAGCGTGGTAAGTTCATCTATAAGTTTCATTTTCTAGGGATCCTTTGGGAAAATATAAATACAGGCCCCCTGGTAAAAATAGAAGTTGATAGATTGATCAACAACAAACAACAAAAAACTAAGCTTTATATCCCATAACAAGTTGATAGATTGATCATCTGAGTAAACATAACTAGAACCACACCCTAGAGTGAATTTTTATCAGTTACTGTGCCCAAAAGCAGGATGTACTTGGGGGCTGTAATTAGTGTCTGAATCATTACTGGTTAATCAAACAGCTTTGTATTTTTATACTCAGTTGAAATTATGTTGCGGATGCTTCAATCTTCATTGTGTAGACAGAACATTATTTGGGAAATTAAAAATTCTAAATTTCAGCTTGATTTCCCCCTCACTACTAACTTTAGTTATCAACTCAATGCGAGTGGTAATTGATGACATTAAGTTGGTGATAATCAATGCCATAATTACTACCAACTAGCGGGTTGGAACTCATATTCTGCCATTGCCTTTAGAAGCAATAGCGTAATCAGTCAATCACCCTTAGATTTTGCCATTCGCTTTAACATTAGGACAGTTTTCCCTATCCCTGAAGCGTATTTATATAAACTCTGCAAATTAAATAGTTTCTTGACATGGACTTTTGCGTTGCAATTTATGTAATTTTTATCTTTCTTTCTCCAGTTAAAAACATAATCATTGCAATTTCTGCAGGTGAGACTTGTGAAGATGGTGAATGAGGCTACTGCCAATATTCCCAATTGGGACACGTTTAATCGTGGCTGATATTTAATCTAATTAGCTTGTGCCTCCATTCTCTTTCTGATATCAATCTCCTTGAAAAGAGAACTATCAACAGAAAATACAGGTAACGAGACAGCAGCATACATTGAGAAGGATATGTTTTACAAGTTAAATGAGGGATATATCATTTTTACACTTGTTAATATAACCATAAATGCCCTTAATTTCTTTTTTCACGCATCTCTTGAAGTCTGACATCTATTTGTTGATTTGCTTGTGAAGTTTTGTGGACTGTAAATCAAATATTCCTCTTGAAATTTTAACTAGAAATGTTGGCAATACAAACAAGTTAAATGAGGCATTGCTTTCACCGGGCTAGCAAGCATAGCAATCACCTACACCTGCATAACTAACAGGCATGGCAGCGCTTTTGTAGATACCTCTTTGGTTGAAAATGGTCATTTTCAGTCACCTAGTGCCACTTAGGTAAAGCTTTATGCATATATGATCGCATCGTGAAATTTTTTATGACAGCCATATATGTTCAGTGTTCAGATGAATTTTGGTTGCACTTCCATTCCAACGTAAGATGTTTCAGATACTATAGAATGTTTATGGCATATTTCATGGATGCTTTGCTGCACAGTAAAAAATGCCTTGTTGGAGTTATATGCTTATATTATCTCTCTACCCCTCCCACCACTTTTTTCTATAAATTTCAGTGAGTACCTCAACATGGTCAGGGCATCTAAACTTGAAAATTCTATGAATTAACTATACATTAAACTTTATATATATATATATATATATATATATTTTGCTAGAAAAATCTCCTCTTTTCATGCCAGGATGCGACTTCATCAATTCCTTCACAAAATAATAATTTTGTTATATACCGATGCGTGCTTTGATGCACAATACTTTGCCGGGCCTAAGCTGGTGGGTGCTCATAAAATTTATGTTTTGCATATTCAACTTAAATAGAATTCAAGCTCATGCAAATGACACCCTTTCGGAATTGGAATGGTACAAAGAAGTTTAAGTCATCTCCACCATTTTTTGAAAAGTGAACTCGTCACAAATGGTACAAAATTTATCTAATTTTTTTTAGTAATGTGTGCTTTGAAGAGAGATGCTAAAATTAGAATAAATTGAATTCTAATGATATTGTCATAATTTATAGATATGAAAATTTATAGTTAAATTTAACAAATTAAGAAGTCAATATCAATCTTTTTTAATTAGGTGTGATTGATCACTTAATAAATCTATTTTTTTAAAAAGCTTTTAAGCTTGATTAAGGGTTTTTAAAAGAATAGTTTCGGATCTATAAATCATAACGAGATTCGAGAGTTCGGTTACATGTGAAAGCACTCTCACATGCCCATCTAAAGGATAGTATCATATTATTTTAAATTTATTCCAACGTTTTGATTCTAATGGTCTTGAATTTTATAAATATTAAAAATAACTTTTAAGATTCTTCCATCAATCTGGTAGAACTTTTAAAAATATTATCTTACGTCAAGAGTATTTAAAATTCTATTTGATTTCTTGAAGAAGTCTTATCGTCAAAAAAAAATTTTATTTTGATTTTTTTGTTTGTCAAAAATAAATTTAATTATTCCACCATTAGTGTCAAATTAAAAATATTCTTTTTTTGAATTTTTAAATTTTTCATCATTTTAGTCTATTTAGAAATTTTTTTTTTCTTTTCTTTTGTTTTCAAAAAGAAAATAATATGACAATTATTTTTTATCAAAATTTCATTTAAATTCTTTCACCATTTGAGACAAATTTAAAGAAATTTTTCACCTAGAGATTTTTTAGGAATTCACCATTTGAAATTTCTAATATTCTCATAATTGGATAATTGTCAAATATTTTCAACCAAATTTTTATTTTTTATTTTTTTGATTTTTTATTGAAAATAAATATTAATTAATTTTATTGAAACTTTATCTAAATTATTTCACCATTTAGGACGAATTTAGATAAAATTTCTCACCTAAAAATTTTATAGAAATTTACCATTTGAAATTTTTATAAATTTCATTATTATATAATTATTATTTATTCTTAAAAAAATATTTTATTTTCCCTATTTTTTAAAAAATTTTCAACATTTAATCATGCAAAAATACTAAGAAAAATAAACACATAAATAAAAAACTAAATAAAATAAATAAATAAATACCAAAAAAAAAAAAAAAACAGCTCGACTAGGAGGCTTAGGCATGGGTCGGCTTCAGACACAGATAGCAGTTCGGGGAAACAATTCAAAGACTCGACGCGGCACAGCTCGACTAAGGGAATCGATTGGAAAACGGGTCAGCAAAGGAGGGTTAGCGCTCTAGTACAGTCACTTACTGGCAAAACGCGTGAATCCTGTGGTATTATTAAAGCCAAAATGACATCGTTTTACAACGATATAAAAGCCCAAGTTCTAACCTTTTTCCTTCAGATTTTTACTCCCCCTCTCTCTTCCTCCTTCTTTTCTTTTCCTCTTTCTTTAGAAACCAAAGAACTCTTGTTAAATCTTCACTGGATTCTAAAAAAAAGTCATTAGAATCTGGGTAGGTTCGTCAAACGTTCACAAAAAAATTCAAGCTTGTCAAAATCTTTAATCGAATTTTAGGATGCTTGCCAAAAATTTTAACCAGCGTTAAAAAAATCATCGAAAAATTCAACCGACATCAAAAAATTTCACCAGAATTTGAAATTTTCAGAAAAATCCTTTTTGTTTTAAACCCAAAAAAAACTCCAAAATTTTTTTGATTACTTTCTGTTTTTCTGTGTTTTTGTTTCTATGTTCTCTGTGTGTTCTCAGGCTTCTGATCAGTAGGTATTTTTAGGCTTAATCAAAAGAGTTTTTGATCAACTCTAAGTTTCACTATTAACTGGATTTCACATTATTTCTGAACCTAAGGAAATTAAAACTAATTGCAATTCTGCCAGCACCCTATACACGACAGAATTTGTATTTTTTTATTTTTTTAGCTATTATCCGATTATCAATTAAAAATAAAATAAATAAAAAATCAAAATAAAATTAAAAAAAATAAACAAAAAAATAAACAGTTGGGCCTAACTGCTTAGACCCTATTGAGCTAGGTCCGATGGGCTTAGGTTCAGACCCTGTTGAACCAGGCCCAATGGACTGGAGTCCATACCAATTAAGGTATCTATAGTTGCCCCTCTTTGCCCATTTCTTATGCAACAAGAATTGTGCAAAAACATAAACACCATGCATTGATCATCCCAACACATTCATCCTTTTCTTTTTTTTTTTAAATAACTGGACACTCGAACTGACTGAATGACACAAGACTCCCTTAAGCAGAGGCTCACAACTTTTGAGAAAACATATAACACTTCTCTAAGTAGAGGCTCAACAACATTGGAAAAATAAATGAAAGGCTCCTTTAAATAGAAGCTCAACAACTTTTGAAAAATAAAAGGCTTCTCTAAACAAAGACTCAACGACTTTGAAAAATAAAAGGTTCTCTAAACAAAGGCACAAGAACTTTGGAAAATAAATCAAGCTTCTCTAAACAGAGGCTCAATGACTTTGAAAAATAAATAATGTTCCTCTAAATAGAGGCTCAATAACTTTGAAAAATAAAAGGCTGATATAAATAAAGGCACAATAACTCTGAAAAACAAAATGTTCCTCTAAATAAAGGTATAACAACTCTAAAAAATAAAATGCTCCTTTAAACAGAGGCGCAACAGCTTTAGAAAATAAAAAGCTCATTTAAATAGAGGCATAATAACTTTGAAAAATAAAAAGCTCATCGACAATCATATCCAGAGAGTCATAGATTAGGTCTGATGAAATTTGTATTGAAAACTCAAAGATTCACAATTTGAGTTCAAAATTCCAAAGGTTCAGATTCGCAAGAACCTTTCAGCTTCACATGAATTCACTGAATTTTGATTATCAAAATTTTAGTTTCATAAGAATTCAAATTTGCAAGATCTTAAGATTCGCATTTACAAATTGCAAGACTCGTATCCAACATTTAAATATTCTCATTTGAATTTTGGAGATTCACATCCAAAAATTCAAAGCTTTTCATTTGAGTTCAAATGTTCACATTTGACGAATTTGGGGTTCTATATCCAAAAAGTTTAAGTTTTTTCATTCAAATTTTAGAGATTCACATCCAAAAGTTCAAAGCTTCTCATTCAAGTTCAAAGACTCACATGTAATAAATCTTAGAGTTTCACATTTAAAATCTCAAAGGTTCTTATTTGAATTCTTTTTAAAGATTCTCATTTGAAAAACTCAAAGATTATCAAAGATTCTTATTTAAAAAACTCAAAGGTTCTCATTTGAAAATATCTTAAAGATTCTTATTTAAGATTCAAAGATTCTCATTTGAGGATTCAAGACTTCATCAAAATATTCAAAATTTTTTTCAGATAACTTTCAAACTTTTACCAAAGTAAAAATTTTGTATGTACTGAATGTCATGATCAATGATGCAAATGCTTTCTTAATGCTGTAAATGCAACAATCTAGATTCTCATAATACCATATTTTCAACCATGATTTAAATGTTTATTGCATAATGCAAATGCATAGCCAAACCAAAGTTTTAAATATTCTCCAAACAACAATGTAAACATAATGCATGTAATGCAAATGCCTATGTCATGAAATTCTAATTAATGTGGTAACATGGATCTCAAGACTTCACCATTTTGAGCTTTTTAGCACTAGCAATTTTAAAACAAATTCTGTCATCTATCACTTGATCACCACTCATAGGCTTCTCAGCATTGGCCATTTCAAAAGAAATTTTGTCCTTCATCACTTGGTCACCAGTCATAGGTTTTTCAGCACTAGCCATTTCAGAACAAATTTTGCCCACTGATCCACATTATTTATTATTCGATCACAACTCACATGTTATGTCAATCAATTCATTCCCATATTCATCACTTTGTTATATCATCTTTTTAAATTTTGCCCTCTTTTTATTTTGTTGGTCAATCCATCACCATATTCATCATTTGATCACATCATGTGTCCTTTCAAATAATTTTTCAGGTTTCTGCACTCTCTTCATTTTTTCTTTTATCATCTTAGATTTTTTTTCCAAAAGAATGCAAAACTCTTTTATGCACATTGTCATTCATTCATTATCATTTCAAATCATGACAAATGTAATACAACCATACATTTTTTTGATTTATTCTGGGGATGTAAAAATAAGATAGCATAAGGCGAATTTAAAGAAAGGTAATCAATGAAAAGTAAGTCTAGTACAAAAATAAATGGGCAAAGGAACAAATTCAAAGCATGCCTTTAGGAATGGTATTGAACAAATGGAGTAACAATATCCAAACAATGAATAGTCAAACAATTCTAAACATTAATCCAAGATTTTTTTCAAAAAATCATTTCATTGACTTTCGAAGTCATTTTGAGCTTGGTAAATTTTGCCCCAGTTTTGAGAAATCTTCAGATATCTTTGTTTTTCCTTCATGTGAACTATTTATCCAACTCTTAACTCAAAGTTTTTTACCCAAATCGCCCTTTTGGGTTTTCAATTTGAGTCTTTTTTTTCTCTCTTTTTTATTTTTTCCATTTTTTCTATCTTTTTTTCCATCTATTGGTAATATCAATCTTTAGAACAACGTAGCATAATTTTGTTGTTCCATATGAGCATGCCTTAGCTCAATATATGATCATTCAATTTAAGCATTCACACTTGATCCAAATGAACTTTTAAAGGTTGTAATATAGGCCATGGTAAGGGGTCATGAAAAAAATTGATAAAATAGACTCAAAACATGTGTTTAAAGGGTTTAAAACCAAAAGATCATCTCTCATCATTTGATACAACTTGGCATTTTGCTCAATTTCACTTTATTTCACTACCTTTTTTTTTCATCTCATTCTCACAAAATGACTCTCATTACTTTGCCTAAATTATGTGTGACATTCATTTTTTTTCTTTTATTTTCTTTTTTTCTTTTTTTTCTTTCTATTTGAGACCCTTTACAATCTTTTACCTCTTTTCTTTTTCAAAAATGGTCCCCCAATGTGGAAGGTGATCCTTGGTAAGGGTGTTTTATAAAAAAAATCATAATAAGCTCAAAGAGATAGCAATGAATGATTTTTTAAATAGTAAATGAAGGTTATTTTTCATCTCACATGTGAATGCTTTCTTTGAAGATCATCTATTGAACAAGCTCATGGATCTTTATAAAAGATTGCATATCTTCAAGACATATATAT